AAAATCAAAAATATATGTAAGTACTAATTACTGACATTTCTACAATTTAGCAGCCTACTGTACCAATTTGATGTTTGTCTTGATGCATCATTAATATTTTCTTTCAAAGCATACAGGATTTTCAATATAGTAATAATTTTACTGTTGGTGCAAAATGGACGGTCTTTTTTCTTGTTACATTGTGTTTAACTCAGAATGTTGACAGAAGTTAAATTCTGCAAAATATTTAGTGTCTCCTTGTTTCATTTTATAATATAAACATCATATTAAGAATTGTAACGTCACATCTTACAAAACTGAGAGTACAGTTCTCGATATATTCTAAACACAATTATTGTGCTCAATTTTACATTTTATTTAATGGTTCAAATAAAATTATTATTACAATTTTTTGGCCAGTCAAATATAAAAAATTGGTAAGTCAGGTTTCTTATATAAATTACAAAAGTTGATTGTTGAAGTTTTATTTTTTGATAATAAAGTCTACATATAAAATGAAAATGTACTACTGCATGATAAACAAGTATTTTTAACAAACCTCACATATATATAAATTTTTTATATATATCGTTAGCTTTGTAGAGGGAATTCATTTCCTAAATTTTGTTTTTTAATTTTTTTTTCAAGCAAGATTTCTTTACCATAATATAAAGCCCGCCCACCCACCCTCTCAATTGATGATTTTTTTATTCGTTGTGAGCCAAGAAATAAAAAACATGTTTTTGAGTATCGTGTTGTTCAAAGAGTACTATGTATACTAAGAAAAAAACTAAGCGAAAGATTAAGCCCGATCCATTCCGACCCAGATCTAAATAGTAATGAAGTTTTCATTCGTTGGTAGACCCAGGGGCCGAGCCTAATTGCAAAATCCATATTTCCTCACAAAAATGTATCATTTTAAACGTGTTTTAAGTTTCTAAAAATTAAAAACAGATTACAATTGGGATACTCATTTTTAATTTTTTGTAAAGAAATAAATATTTTGCAGTTCATTTTCGTCCCCTTGGTTGACGGCGAATAAAAAAAATTATCACAATTGAGACAGGGCGGGTGGGCGGGCTTATATTTTACCTTTTTGTTTTAACACATTTGTGTAGACATCTTTTCACAACATGAAACTTACAACATGTTTAAAATGGAAAATTTGTATAGGGAAATAGCGATTTTGCAACAGGCTCCACCCCATAATTGCAAAATCTGTTTCCTTGCAAAAACCATTTTAACCATGTTTTAAGTTTCTTGTTATGAAAAGATGGCTGTGTATATTAAGAAAAAAAAGGCAAAATATATGCCCCGCCCACCCGCCCTGTCCCAATTGTGATGATTTTTTTATTCGTTGTGAGCCAAGAAATAAAAAACATGTTTTTGGGTATCGTGTTATTCAAAGAGTACTATGTATACTAAGAAAAAAACTAAGCCAAAGATTAAGCCCAACCCATTCCTACCCTGATCTAAATAGTAATGAAGTTTTCATTCGTTGCTAGACCTAGGGGCGGAGCCTAATTGCAAAATCCATATTTCCTCACAAAAATTTATCATTTTCAACGTGTTTTAAGTTTCTAAAAATTAAAAAAAGATTACAATTGGGATACTCATTTTGAATTTTTTGTAAAGAAATAAATATTTTGCAGTTCATTTTCATCCCCTTGGTTGATGGCGAATTAAAAAAATCATCACAATTGAGACAGGGCGGGTGGGCGGGCTTACATTTTACCTTTTTGTTTTAACACATTTGTGTAGACATCTTTTCACAACATGAAACTTAAAACATGTTTAAAATGGAAAATTTGTATAGGGAAATATCGATTTTGCAACAGGCTCCGCCCCATAATTGCAAAATCTATTTCCTTGCAAAAACCATTTTAACCATGTTTTAAGTTTCTTGTTATGAAAAGATGGCTGTGTATATTAAGAAAAAAAAAGGCAAAATATATGCCCCGCCCACCCGCCCTGTCCCAATTGTGATGTTTTTTTTATTCGTTGTGAGCCAAGAAATAAAAAACATGTTTTTGGGTATCGTGTTATTCAAAGAGTACTATGTATACTAAGAAAAAAACTAAGCCAAAGATTAAGCCCTACCCATTCCTACCCTGATCTAAATAGTAATGAAGTTTTCATTCGTTGCTAGACCTAGGGGTGGAGCCTAATTGCAAAATCCATATTTCCTCACAAAAATTTATCATTTTCAACGTGTTTTAAGTTTCTAAAAATTAAAAAAAAGATTACAATTGGGATACTCATTTTGAATTTTTTGTAAAGAAATAAATATTTTGCAGTTCATTTTCATCCCCTTGGTTGATGGCGAATTAAAAAAATCATCACAATTGAGACAGGGCGGGTGGGCGGGCTTACATTTTACCTTTTTGTTTTAACACATTTGTGTAGACATCTTTTCACAACATGAAACTTAAAACATGTTTAAAATGGTACATTTGTATACGGAAATATCGATTTTGCAACAGGCTCGGCCCCATAATTGCAAAATCTGTTTCCTTGCAAAAACCGTTTTAACCATGTTTTAAGTTTCTTGATATGAAAAGATGGCTGTGTATATTAAGAAGAAAAAGGCAAAATATATGACCCGCCCACTCGCCCTGTCCCAATTGTGATGATTTTTTTTATTCATCGTAAGCCGAAGGGCGGAGCTTAATTGTAAAATCCTTGTTTTTCTACGACAAATTACCACGTGAAATATGTTCTTAAGTAATCGTGTTGTACAAAGAAAACTAAATGTATTAATCAAAAAAGAAAACCAAAAGAGAAGTTTCTGGTTGTGAAAAGATGACTACACGTATTAAGAAAACAAGGCAAAATGAAAAGGTGATACTAACCCCACCCACCTCCAATTTTAAATTTCATTGGTTTATTTTATTTATGATGCGATGAAAATTGAAACTTCGAAGTGCCCAAACACTAATTTTTTCTTTTTAATCGCTCATTTTATTGGGTGAAAAGTGGTTTTATGTTAAAAAACAGTGGAACGTAGAAAACAAAAGTAAAACTAAGCCCACCCACTTCCGCTTTCGAATTTCATTGGGTTATTTTAACTGCCGTGAGAAAAAATTGAATTCTTATTTGGCCAGCGGTCAATCCAGTTAAAAAAAAAACTTTAAAGTGGCCCCGCCCACCCACCCAGTTTTCTTGTTGATCGCTAATTTTAATGAACGAAAATTTGATTTTACGTAGTTAAAATTCGAAGGTGAACAAAAACTATCAAACTAACTCCACCTACCTTCAATTCTGAATTTCATTGGCTTATTTTATTAACTGTGAAATAAAAATTGAATTATATTTTGTGAAGTGGTACGTCTAATTAAAAAAAAACACTTCAACATCTTCGAGATCAGTTTTTTCGCGATTCAACTCGCATAACGTGTGCAAAAAGGTTGTGAAGTTTGTAAATAAAAAAAAATTGTTGTAGAATTTTGGTTAAAGGGTAAAAATAGGGACGGAGTAACATATCACAGGTATAGAAGCTTATTATGTTGTATATTTTAAATAGAAATAGGTTGGCAAAATTTTGAAGCAACGATCTGAGCAGTGAGCAGTCTACACAATAGTTTTTGAAAATAAATGTAAAATTTCTCAATAATCAGTCCAGTAGTTTCGGAGATTACCTGCTTAGTAAAATCACCAATAGACAGTTTGGACTTGGGGTGTAAAAAAACTTAAAAAATTGTTTTTCACTGTACCAATTTATTTTATATCAAGAACTTTGAGAATCTTAGTAAAGAGCACTTTAAGGCAGCCAAAAAATTCGAAATCCTGAACTGGCTGAGATTTTATTAGCACTGAAGTCTGTCCTCCAAGGCATATGCAATATCACGTACTGGTGCACATGTAAATATGATTTGCTTAGCAAAATTTTGAGACGATGTCATCAAATTTTTTGTTGGGGACCATCAGACTGATTTTGGTTAGTATTTTAAAATACTTCTTAAATTTTAATAGTTCTCAAACTCAATACGCTGAAATTTCAAATAGTTCCCAAATTTAAGTTGTAACTTGCGTGGCACTAAAAAAACTATTGAAAATCGACTGTGCATTTGATGTCTTATTGTTAGCCGCACTTTACAAGTTACCTTGCTGTTTTTTACATATTCAATTACTTACTGACGTCAAACTTTTTACTACACTTTGATAGCAGTGATTATAGTTAGTATAGTACACCGCAACAATTAAAACAAAAAGCAAAAATTTTATTTCGATCGTTCTGATACTCCCAATTTATTACCACTTTCAGATTTTTAAACATGGACAATGTCTTACTTAAACCCAACGAACATCAACTGAATACTAAAATACGCTGGTTTTTAACCGTGTCGATGGGTATCTGTCATTATTCAGACAGCAGGTCTGTGTTATGTGCTACATATACGACTTACAGAAATTAGCTTCTGACTTGAATTCGGATTGATGTTTTATTGACTTAAACTTAAAACTTCACATTTCGAGGTCATAACTATCCAAAAACCGCCTTCAAAAAAGGGAATCCAAATCCAAATCCAAATCTGAACTTAATGATGTTAATTTTACTTAAGTAGTTATTTTTCGTAATTAGTTGATCAGCAGTAGGATTGAATATGCAGATGCTATAAACAAAAAAAAATGTAAGTGGGTGTTTTAGCATAAAGAAGCAATAATAAAAGTATTAAAACTTAACCTGGTTATGCCGCTCAAAAATACTAGAGATCACTTTACCAGAACCATTTATATTCCAACACCGTCACAAAAGAGATATCAAGTGTATTGTACCATTGAATTGCAAATTCAATAGTCTGTTCGGATATGTAAAGTTAGATCTATTAAGGAAGTATCTATCAAAATTGCGATGACAAGCTTTTAAATGAATTCTTTTCCTCTACACGATTTGCTTTCGAGCCTCAGATCTAACTCTCATGAAAATCTCGCAGGAACTTAGTACTAGAAATCTGTTTGTTGTGCATAAAGAAACATTTGTCCGCGAGAAGACCTTGAACTATAATCATTAATAAACTCACTTTCCGGTTCGTAGATGCCCCTGCCCGGACCTCTGATCTGTTCATTGACAAAATTGGAGGACTTGGGCACGTTAAGCGCCGACCTGATTCCAACCGAGGACCCATCCAGATGTCCCGGTCCAATTTTGGGCACGTGACTGTTGCAATACACCTCTTTATCCTCCTGTCTGTGCTGGTTGTTATAATACGTCTTCAACGTCAATTTCGTACCACAAACCGCGCACTTAAAGCATCCACTATGGAAGAACGTGAAATCCTTCAAAGGTCCCACACGATCCACCTGATACACCGTCTCGTTGCACCTCAAGCAGGTACTCTCGTAAAAATTAGGTCGGTACATGGCTTTGTAATTTTGCAGCATCGTGAGAAATTCAAAACCTGCCTCGATTCCGCACGTACGCGAACAGTCCGAAGCAAAAAGACCGTGGACGTCCAAGTCCTAATCGATGAAAAACCGGCAAATTCGAGCCAACTCCAGTCCAATTTTCCGCTCCGGTTCAGCTGAACGCTGCTCTCGCGAAAAAATCCGGCGACTTCGATGCTCACGCAAGACGGAAGCCAGTCAAAATTTTTGACAAGCCGCAGATCTGCTCTCGGAAGGGCTTTGCAAGGGGTTTTTGGCTTTGTTTTGGGCCAAATGGAAGCAGCTGCGTCTGAACGGCGCAAAAATCACTCTTAGTCACTTGCCACCGTAGCCATGTTGATACCAACACTGCTGCGAACCGAAACTGACTTCTCTCTCCACGATTCGATTCCCCGCACCTTCATCCGTTCACCTGTTCAGGAACCACGACTCGATGGTACTGCCGACGGATCGGCTCGGTTTTAATGGGTTCCGCCGATGGTGAACGACGGTGGTCGTTCTTCGCGAGGTTGGTATCACGCCTCCAGGTATACCCGCAGCCCACATACCATTCGCCATTCCTTGCACACCTATCTTACATCACTTGTTCACCTGTTTACTAAATATGCGTCTTGGTGAGTACGGTGCTCAAGTGCTCGCAACGTGGAGTTGAATCGCGAAAAAACTGATCTCGAAGATGTTGAAGTGGTGTTACGAAGGCGGAAGATGTGACGGGTCAGGTTGAGGAGGTTTTTAAATTTCTGCGGATTCGCGACAAAATTGACTAAATTTATTTTCTTTATGCGATTTATCATAAGCTAAATAGTACCGCAGGGTGTATTTAGCGATTTTAATGATAATAATCCAATTGTGACAATAATAACAAGGCTATAATTAAGAACTATAAAAACTAAACACGTCTATGTTAATTTAATAATGATACGTAATTGTCAGTCGGTTTTTTAATATAGTTATATGCTACCATTAGTTACGAAAAATATTCGTTTACTACAACTTCTAACAATTAAAAAAAATGTCAATTATTCTGTAAAATGAGACAAAATATTTTTGTCAAAATCAGTCTTACCATGGCAAGTACTAGCCCCGCCCACCCGCCCTTTATTTTCTTAGAGAATAGATTCTTTGTCAAAATCAGTCTTATCTTGACAAAGTTGAAATAATAAAAAATTTCGAGTAAAACGGGGTGTTTATGATTCCGGAACAAAATTTGCAAAATATTCGGTTTGGAAGACAACATTTTTGAAAATCCTAAAATTGCTGCATTTAATATTGGCAATTCTGGAAAAATACCAAGAATTTTCGAAATGAAACCGAAAATAACTTCTCAAGGTTGAAATCTATAAAAGAATATCACTTTAGGAATTTACCAAGCTGATCGAAAAAAGTCGAAAATTTCGTATATTGAAAAATTGACCTTTTGGAAAAGTTGTCTAAAAATCCACAAAAAATTCTGGAATACAGACCTCGATGTGCTGATCCGAAAAAATTTTAACGCAGTGTTTATAGTCCCGGAGTAAGATTTTCGCAATATTCAGTTTGAAAATATTTCTTTTATAATTTTAAAAGCGGTCATATCTCAAAAAAGGGATTTTAGAAAAATGGTAGGAAATTTCGAAGAACTGAACCCGAAAATAATTTCTGGAGGTCTAAATCTGCAAACAAGTGTCTTGCTAATCGTTAAAAGTCGAAAATTTTATAAGGAGGAAGGATGTATTTAAGAAATTCAGCTTTTAGAATAGTTGTCCAAAAATCCACAAAAAAATCTTCTGATACAGATTTCTACGTGTTAATTCGAAAAATATAACGTGTATATGGTCCATTTTTGAAATATTTATTCAGTTTGAAAGTCAATCTTAAAAACTGCCATCAAAAGAAGAATTCTTGAACAATTGTGTGGATTTTCGAAGAACTAAAGCTGAAAATAACTTCCAGAAGACGAAATCTAAAAAAAAATTGTAATAATTTTTTAGCGTATACTTGAAAAAATATGGAAAATTTCTAAATTGCCGTATTTACCTAATGTTGACGATTCTCGAAAAATGCTTTCGAATTTTCGAAGAAATGGAGCCGAAAGTAACTTCTGGAGGTTGCAATCTATAAAAAGTCAGTTTAGATATTTTTCTAAGCTGGTTGAAAGAAGTCGAAAATATCGTATATTGAAAAAATTGACCTTTTGGAAAAGTTGTCTAAAAATCCACAAAAAATTCTGGAATACAGACCTCGATGTGCTGGTCCGAAAAAATTTGCGTGTTTATAGTCCCGGAGTAAGATTTTCGAAATATTCAGTTTGAAAATATTTGTTTTATAATTTTGAAAGCGGTCATCTCAAAAAAGGGATGTTAGAAAAATGGTAGGAAATTTCGAAGAACTGAACCCGAAAATAATTTCTGGAGGTCTAAATCTGCAAAAAAGTCTCTTTAGGTATTTTTCGAAGCTAATCGTTAAAAGTCGAAAATTTTATAAGGAGGAAGGAAGTATTAAGAAATTCAGCTTTTAGAATAGTTGTCCAAAAATCCACAAAAAAATCTTCAGATACAGATTTCTACGTGTTGATTCGAAAATTATAACGTGTATATGGTCCATTTTTGAAATATTTATTCAGTTTGAAAGTCAATCTTAAAAACTGCCATCAAAAGAAGAATTCTGGAACAATTGTGTGGATTTTTGAAGAACTAAAGCTGAAAATAACTTCCAGAAGACGAAATCTAAAAAAAAATCTGTAATAATTTTTTAGCGTATACTTCAAAAAATATGGAAAATTTCTAAATTGGCGTATTTACCTAATGTTGACGATTCTCGAAAAATGCTTTCGAATTTTCAAAGAAATGGAGCCGAAAGTAACTTCTGGAGGTTGCAATCTATAAAAAGTCAGTAGTTTAGATAATTTTCTAAGCTGGTTGAAAGAAGTCGAAAATATCGTATATTGAAAAAATTGACCTTTTGGAAAAGTTGTCTAAAAATCCACAAAAAATTCTGGAATACAGACCTCGATGTGCTGGTCCGAAAAAATTTGCGTGTTTATAGTCCCGGAGTAAGATTTTCGAAATATTCAGTTTGAAAATATTTGTTTTATAATTTTAAAAGCGGTCATCTCAAAAAAGAGATTTTAGAAAAATGGTAGGAAATTTCGAAGAACTGAACCCGAAAATAATTTCTGGAGGTCTAAATCTGCAAAAAAGTCTCTTTAGGTATTTTTCGAAGCTAATCGTTAACAGTCGAAAATTTTATAATGAGGAAGGAAGTATTAAGAAATTCAGCTTTTAGAATAGTTGTCCAAAAATCTACAAAAAAATCTTCATATACAGATTTCTACGTGTTGATTCGAAAAATATAACGTGTATATGGTCCATTTTTGAAATATTTATTCAGTTTGAAAGTCAATCTTAAAAACTGCCATCAAAAGAAGAATTCTTGAACAATAGTGTGAATTTTCGAAGAACTAAAGCTGAAAACAACTTCCAGAAGACGAAATCTAAAAAAAAATTGTAATAATTTTTTAGCGTATACTTGAAAAAATATGGAAAATTTCTAAATTGGCGTATTTACCTAATGTTGACGATTCTCGAAAAATGCTTTCGAATTTTCGAAGAAATGGAGCCGAAAGTAACTTCTGGAGGTTGCAATCTATAAAAAGTGAGTTTAGATAATTTTCTAAGTTGGTTGAAAGAAGTCGAAAATATCGTATATTGAAAAAATTGACCTTTTGGAAAAGTTGTCTAAAAATCCATAAAATATTCTGAAATACAGATCTCTATACGCTGATTCGAAAGATATAGCGTGTTTATGGATACGGAGTAAAATTTTTGAAATATTCAGTTTGAAAGCATTTTTTTTTTTTTAATTTTAAAAATGGCCATATCTCAAAAAAGGGTAGGAAATTTCGAAGAAATAAAGAAGAAAATAATTTCTGGAGGTCTAAATCTGCAAAAAAGTCTCTTTAGGTAATTTTGGAAGCCAATCGTTAAAAGTCGAAAATTTTATAAGGGGGAATGAAGTATGTATTAAAAAATTCAGCTTTTAGAAAAGTTGCCCAAAAGTCCACAAAAAAATCTTGAAGTACAGATTTCTACGTGTTGATTCGAAAAATATAACGTGTAGATGGTCTTGGAGTAAAATTTTTGAAATATTTCTTCAGTTTGAAAGTCATTTTTTTTAATCTGAAAAACTGCCATCCAAAGAAGAATTCTGGAACAACAGTGTGAATGTTCGAAGAACTAAAGCTGAAAATAACTTCCAGAAGACGAAATCTAAAAGAAAATCTCTTTAATAATTTTTTAATGTACTTGAAAAAATATCGATAATTTCAAAATTCCCGTATTTACCTAATATTGACGATTCTCGAAAAATGCTTTCGAATTTTCGAATAAATAGAGCTGATAGTAACTTCTGGAGGCTGCAATCTATAAAAAAAATCAGTTTAGATCATTTTCTAAACTGGTTGAAAAAAGTCGAAAATATCGTATATTGAAAAAATTGACCTTTTGGAAAAGTTGTCTAAAAATCCATAAAAAATTCTGAAATACAGATCTCGATATGATGATTTGAACAATTATAGCGTGTTTATGGATACGGAGTAAAAATCGAAATATTCAGTTTGAAAGCATTTTTTTTTTTAAATGGCCATATCTCAAAAAAGGGTTTTTAGAAAAATGGTAGGAAATTTCGAAGAAATAAAGAAGAAAATAATTTCTAGAGGTCTAAATCTGCAAAAAAGTCCCTTTAGGTAATTTTCGAAGCTAATCGTTAAAAGTTGAAAATTTTATAAGGGGGAAGGAAGTAGTAAGAAATTCAGCTTTTTGAAAAGTTGCCCAAAAATCCACAAAAAAATCTTGAGGTACAGATTTCTACGTGTTGATTCGAAAAAATATAACGTGTAGAGGGCCATGGAGTAAGATTTTTGAAATATTTATTCAGTTTGAAAGTCAATTTTTTTTATCTGAAAAACTGCCATCAAAAGAAGAATTCTGGAACAACAGTGTGAATGTTCGAAGAACTAAAGCTGAAAATAACTTCCAGAAGACGAAATTTAAAAGAAAATCTCTTTAATAATTTTTAATGTACTTGAAAAAATATCGAAAATTTCAAAATTCCCGTATTTACCTAATATTGACGATTAACCGAAAAATGCTTTCGAATTTTCGAAAAAATGGAGCCGAAAATAACTATTGAAAAAATTTACTTCTTGGAAAAGTTGTCTAAAAATCCACAAAACATTCTGAAATACAGATCTCGATATGCTGATTCGAAAAATATAGCGTGTTTATGGATACGGAGAAAAATTTTTGAAATATTCAATTTGAAAGTACTTTCTTTAATTTTAAAAATGGCCACATTTCAAAAAAGAGCTTATAGAAAAATGGTAAGAAATTTCGAAGAACTGAACCCGAAAATAATATCT